AGATTCAGTGGTATTAACCAGACTGGATCTCAAGGTAAATCACAATCAGAAGAATTCACATATTGCACATTACATCGACATAGTAAAACTGTAGCCATTGTGAAAATATAGATAAATCTCATTACGCTCAAGAACTAAATAAAAGTGACAAGCAAACATGATGAAAGTGTCCAATTATATTCGTGCTACCCGATTAATTACACATTTTAGGTCACCTAGTTCTTAGAATTGATGATCGAGTGACATATAACAGAATCTTCGCGCCTGACAGAGTTATATGCTTCTGTTACAGATTTTGGACGCTCCTACAAAGAATTGGAAGCAAGCGAGCATAACTATATCAAAGTGAACAGCAGTGTCTGCAACCCCTCCCACCTTGGCCAGTGGGAGGACACTAGCGACTGTCAACGTTTCTACACTTGTGAAGTGAATTCAGAACCTCCCTTTTACTGCGATGCAGAATACGGAAAGGCAATATCGAACAAACGCTTGGTAAGATACGCTTACATCTGGCATTAAACCAAATATTGTTAAAACAACAGACTCTCTTGACATTATCCACTGTCTTCATTTGTTTGTTAAAAAACATTCCGAGACTAGAATCTGTCTCTGTCCTCTAGTAAAAACCTACTTCACTGGGCCCGGTCGACAGAGCTAGTCACTGTCTCGCCGTTTCAAGTATGCGGAGCTCTTCTGCTTCTTTGCAGTTACACAACTCTCACATTTTCCCTTCTTACTCTGACATGCAATTCAGAATAAAGGAAAAAAATAGCAAGGGGAGACCTGTATTAGCTTTTCGTTGTTAATTTGTACGTTTGGTACAGTTCAGTTTCACTAACTGACTCGCAAATCTGTGTTGCTGTTTGCAGTTCCTTGACTTTCATCTCCGCATGTACTTATGCCAATTTCACAGTAATTTCCTCCTCCGCCTCCTGTTAGGCCCACAAACTCTTATTTCCAGAGTGCAAGTTGCTCCATTCCATTATTTAATTCCTTCCTTCATTTGTTTACCAATTCTATGCTCTGGGTATCTCACTGTTTCTTCTTCAAGGTATTGTTGGTCTTTCGAGTTATGTGGATTTGTAGGCATCTCGTTACTTGCCAATGTCGGCACTTAGGGGATAAGAGGTATAGTTCCAACACAATCACAACCTCGGCACTAGAAGGGGGCGAGTGGTCAGCATCACGCCCCGACAGCACTTTACCCCCGGGGATGCGTTGGTCAGGAGGCTGGGTGGGTCCAAGCAAGTCTGAACTCACAGGGTAAAAGAAAATCCCCTGCCTCTGTCAGGGATAAAACCCCGATCACCCAGCCCATAGCCAATGATAAATTATTAATGAACAATTAATTGAAAAATACGTGGAAGGAAGTGGTTGAGGCCTAATTTAGAAGTAGTATCCATACATCTGCCTGAAGAGCCAGTCTTCAGGCTGAGATTCAAACCCAAGACCTCTCAAAGCTAAAAACACTGCCACAACATTTGGTGAGGGCCACTGTCTGAAGCATAGGAGCAAGATGAAAAATGCCTAACCATCAAACTTCTAAATTTTTGGATAATTCCAACTCTGCTAAAATTGTTATTCACAAAACCAGCATAAAATCAAACTGACAGTCCCAACTCAATTTATGCCTATCTCTGATTCCAGGAACCAGCAGCCAGTCAGATTGTATGGAGCACAGAACAAGCAATCGGACAACATTTACAGATCGAAAGATACACCACTCCCTGCATCATAATGACTTTGTATCAATGCCCCAACAAGTCCGTCTATTATAAAGAAAGCAAACGGTGCATAACACACAGTGATGCAAACATATCAAAATTATGTCACATGTAACAGCACCTACGCATTGGTAAAGTACTATATTGTTATGTGCGCCGCGTTTATGACAAGATAAAACCCGTCTAAACAGAACCTCATGCGGACCACGCAAATTTATTTTTTACTCTACGGAGATGCTATTTGCCATTTATTACTGAGGACCAATACAAATATTCTGTTTATTATTCATCCAAGTTCTTATTTAATAATTTATAATATTCAGTTCTGAAATGAATAACGCTTAGAAGCTGGTTTGAAATTGCATATAATTCAGATAGACATAACAAGATGGTACTGCCATGAAAAGCACTGTCATTTTTACACACGTGCGTGTTTGCAATGAAATTTCAACTTTTAACAAACAATCTGGCAATTCCTGCACTGTCAATAACACCAGGTCTACCGTTAACACTCCAACTTATTGTTCCTTCAAGGTGCTATTAATTTATCAAAATCTTTTAAGTATGTTCACAGGAAAGCTACAAAAATGCACTATTAGCTTTTCCATGTCTCCATTGCTGAATGGATTTTCATTAAATTTCAATAAAAATGTCAAAACTTAAATTCTGGTTAAAATTGAATAACAATAATACTTATTTTAATTAAACACCTATATATGTCTCTGTGCTTCAAAGTGATCTTGGGGAATCCCCTGGAATAACATAATTATCTGGCCAGATACCCCATTCACGCAAGAGTCATTAATCCCGGCCATCTCTAATCTCGACGGAGCTACTCACAAAAATCAAAGACGGGTTTAATAAAACAAACGGTTTCCCGTAACTACTTATGAAAGCATTCATGAATTTAAAATCTAAAGATAATATAAGAGAGTGAAAGAAACAAAAATGTTGAACTATGCAGACATTTTCTAGCTTGTTAATATGGTTATGGGTGCAATGACCACATACACACATCAAACCTGAAGATGGCTGCAAGCAGCTGAAACATGTAGTTCGATAAACACTTAGAGAAAACTTGAAGTGTATGTGATGGTGGCAGTTAAAACAAATATTAAGTAACTGATGGTTACAGCACATGTAGAAGCTTTAGAGTGACACGGATAATATTGTACACGCGCTTACTCATACAACAAAGCATAAATATTTATTCATACAACACACAAATGTTTACAGGGGCAGAGTTTGCAAAATGGCGCAGGTGCTCAGCCAAGAAGCGGCTGCCTCAGAATATGAATTATGCTGCAGGATTGGCACTGAAGGGCTAAATGGTGGGATGATGATATATTTTAGAAAATACTGTGTTTTTGTGTTATTTCTTTAAATATTTATATATCTGGAGTGCAATTCCTCATAGGCAGATACATTAACACATATAACTGGATTTTAAAAGCTATTTTCAAAATTCACCTACAAATTTCACAGAAACAATATTCCTTTTTCCAAAAAAATGTAATTTTATCTTGCTGATCACTAATGAAGATTGATATAGAGATATAAATTATATTTTAAATATGTTAAATGCAAACTGTACATCTCAAACAAATTTCTGTCCAATACAAAAACTACCGTAATAAACAAGAGAAATTTCAAGAAACTGTTCACAAGGACAGCTATAAGTCTTCACCTGAGCTTTCTACACTTAGAAACAAAAATGTTTTTCCTGAAAATTCAGTAAAGAAAGGCATTTACTCGCTACATTCCAAAACAAGGTCTTGTATCAAGATTTTTAAATAAAAAAACTATAGTTTTTAATGCACTAAAACATTCCTGTTTCTAGTTCCGTACCAACTGAGCTACAGTGTCAGAAATAGCACAAAAATACAAATGAATATCGCAGCAGCATAAAGATATCTGAAAAATAGCAACAACTAAAATTTTTTTAATATATAAATCCTACTCACTTCGTTGATTGACATCTGCAGCCAACCACGCATGAAGAATGGCGACACCCTCATCATCAAATATCTTTGGATATCTGTATTTCAGCAGCTTCACCAACAAATTATTCCCCCTGTTTGATGATAATTTCATCTCCCTATAAGAAATGACACAACCATCGATAAACTAATGAAATAACTTCATCTTAACACAAGTAATAAGTAAAAATTGCAAGTGTTTAAAAAAATACAAAAACAACCTAACCTATTAGCAATGACATAAGCAGAGAATGAGGACATAAGTACATAGTGAGGAACACTGTAATTTGTAAACAATATTGTTATGGTACATTACGACAGCTGGGCAAAGCAGGCCAGACAAGAAACGCATACAGAATTTTGATGGGGAAACTTCATGGGATGCAGGAATTTGGAATACTGAGAACCACCTGGAGGAGGGGACATCAAATTATCCACAGACAGCTCTCCAGAAAATATAGATATAGAATATTTTTTAAGTACCAATATTATTTTGAACAAATTCACAAAAATGTTAACGCATGTGATGGTGCTCCGTCTGTTTTAGAAAACTGCTACTTCTGTGGCATGTTGACCGACTGAATGTATGCTTTTTCCAATACCTTAGTTATACTGAGTGCAAGTGATCATTATAGGGAAGGATTTTAAAGAAGGAAGCTGTGGCCTATTTAAAAATAAACTCCTGGCATTCAATTGAATAGAGTGAGGAAAACTGTTAAAAATCTCAGGACAGCTGATAGCCCAGTAAAGATCTGTGTTCCAAACGCAGGTCTAGAGTAACTGTCGCACACATTTTCCCATTCTGCAGCCTGATCCAATAACTACTGCAACAAACTCTGTGGGGCATTGTCTTTCTTCGGAGGCTAAGAGTGACTCAGCTAGTCAAGAAACTCGGTCATTTATGAAAACCAAAAGGCCATTACAATGTTCACAAGAACCGACCACTGACCACCACCTTCAAGGTCCATTTCAATATTATCCGATGCCTAGGTCTTGCGAGTGGTTGCTTCCCTTTTGAATTTCTGACCAATATGTCAAAGCTTTTTATGTCTCCAACAAATGCTACATGCCCTGCAAATCCTAATTTTTAAAGAAATGGATTCATAGAGTGATGACATTTCGAAACCATTCCTTTGCACATGCCCACAATTCTCTGTTTTCTTGGTACATTACCTACTTAACATCTTCAGTAAGAAAAGCCAAGGACTACAAAGGAAACATCCGAAGAATACATATCTGTATGCAGATTAGATTCGAAATTTCTGCTCAGCACATGGGCCCGGACAGTAGCCACATTCTGTTCAACACTTACTCTGTGCAGATAACTTCATCCTCAGTTCTCCTGATCAGTAGAACTGGTCCAGGATATTTTGAGAGCTGCTGGTAGATGTTTAGGTTGATGTAGTCTCGAATAGTCTTCCTGACAAGTGGCTCCAATGAGCTGGGCATGCGCAGAATGGCAAGTTCCACAATGTCATCAAATGTGGCATCTAATATCTACACACGGAAAGATAACACGAAACAATACCAAAATTAAAATTAAAATTGGCATAAATTTTAGAATTATTATACTTACTGATAAGAATATGACAAAATGCACAGAATAAGAAAGTATGATTATACTTACTGATAAGTATCTGACAAAATGCACAGAATAAGAAAGTATGAAAAAAATTAATTAAATCTGCAATAAATAAACATCAAGGTCAATGAAGTAAGAAAAGACGCAAAGTACGAAAGACAAGATGGCAACATATTGCAGTAAACAATGCTTACGTAGCTGTAATTAACTGCACGAGATGGAAATTAAAAAATGCGTACCACTCCTTTGACATCTGGATAGTTCATGGCAGCCCAAGATATGGGATATCCTCCAATACTCCAACCAAACAACAGAATATTCTCAGGTTGAAATTTCAAACCATGAATGGCAAACTGCATCACAATATCAATAGCATTTAGTTCTTGGTCTGGGTACGGCATACCCTGCAACGCCAATAATATTAAGTTGTGATAAAGAAAGAGATATTAAAAAGCGATACAGGAACACAGAAATTTATGACTATGAAGTAAAACTAAATTATACTGTCAGCAGATGTGATAAATGACAGTCTCATTCAATGAGCCCTAGGTCTGATCCCTTGCCAGACCTGGTGAAGACCTTTTCTGTGCACAAATTCAAGCTTTAACCTCTGGTGAAGAATGCAGAGAACATAAGGCCAACATATAAATACCAACTCATATTCACACAAGAACTTCCATGATTCTTAACTTAATCAACATAACAAATAAACAGCTCTATTAGACATCACAATTATACACAACTTCTGATAATGGAGAACTGAAACCTTTCAAGCCTGTGCTATTTTTTGGGAGCTTCGTGGTAATACATTCAGTACTCAGTGTTTTAAACTATAAGTACCCTCTGCTAACCATCATTTTAACCTTCAAGATCAGTGAAATCTTCCTCATGAATTCTCTTCCATACAAAACAGGTTACTTCACGCAATGAAGTCTTCTTGGGCGATCCGCAATCATCAGGGATTGACATGATTTCTGATGACGGAGGCAGAAAACAGTCTCTGAAACAGAAACTAATTCCATACTGAGATGTGATCACCTGAGAAGACTTCACTGTATTTAATCTCCGTGAAAGCTATATCGGAAGGGTGGGAGGTGGAAAGATCCTACTCGGCACTGTGTCCAATGGCAAGTTTTGACGTTAGTGACATTAAACCTCAGGGTGCCACTCTATTAGTTAAGATATAAGCAAAGTACTGTTTGATAACAATCAGTTCTTCTGTACCAAATCTGTTGTAGGCTTTCAGGTTTTTGGATATTTCATCAGGTAATGAAATGTATCATACCGTGCTACCACCAAACCCAGGATGGTTCCACCCCAGAACTGAATATCCTGCTTCAAGAGGAGTAACCATTATCCCAATTTCATAGAAGCCAGCATTGCCTTCTGAACAGATCACAAGAGTGTTTCCATTGGCATGCCTGGAACAGAAGAACAAAATACAAATTGAAGACTGTGCCTCTATGAGATTAGGACGGAACTTTAGCTTGACGCTCAAATTAATTACCTAACACCATGCAGCACTACCCTTCTTGAGAAGCTAATGGTCACTCAGATGGTAAAGAAATTTCTTGCACTTCATGTAATCAAAAGTTCCAAAAAAAAACCTGCCATTGGTACTTATGAAGAGTCACCTGAATCCAATCCATAGTCTTCCATCTTACTTCAGTATTATTCTATTTATGCCAAGGTCTTCCAACTGGTCTCTTCCCTTCAGGTTTTCAAACTAAAATTTTGTATGCATTTCTCATCTTGCCCATGTATGCCACATGCCCCACCCATTCGCACCCTCCTCAACTTCGATCACTGTAATGATATTTAGTAAAGAATACAAATGATGAAGCTCCTCATTACGCAATTTTCTCCGGCCTCTTGTTGTTTCCTCTCTCGTGTCCAAATGTTCTCCTCAGCACCCTTCACACTACACTGCTGCATTTATATTATGTAACTAATAAGTTTTGTCTCATCCATCTGAAAAGTGTCTTCAGAATATACACAAAAGAATAACTTATCAGAAATAAAGAACAAACTTATGAGATTAAAAAGGACTTGCTGTCAACAGCAAAGTAACAAAAGTTCTTACATCTTCAGAATGTACTTATTAAAGAATGATCACAGTGAAACAAAGCAGAAAATGAAGAATTTAAAGAAACTTGTTCTGAGTAGCAAAGAAATACAAAGCAACATATTCTTACTTATTTCTCCTATCCACAATCATAGTGTCCACATAGTTACCATCCCTGGTATGCAATTTGAATCGTTCTGCTTGATTCTCATTAACCAACTTGATTCTGCCTTGCAACAGGATTGGAGCTGCAAGGATAACAGGGTCACATGTCAGGTTTCAATTGAAGATGTTATACTACAAAAAATACACAAGATGAAGAACATACTATCAACACAGCATAGATCCGACATATTCTGCTGGTCCAATTCTCTTAACTGTGTTTTGTAAAATAATTTCAGGATATTAAAAATTCACTTTCAATAGGACTGCATCTTTAGTTCGACATGAAACTTTCTACAAAATCAGATCTTTAGTCATGATAAATCTATAAATATATATTGTTCACCTCCGAGTTCATTTCTTTGGGAAGGCAGATGGAACCACACATACTGTGAAAATCATTGTCTAAAACACAAAAATGTAATTTGCATGGGTGCAGATACTCTCAGATGAATGACATACACGCAAACATACAGGATAATTTCCCTGAGAACTGTATAAAGATTTCAGGTATCAGGAAGCACTTACCCATCACATACTGCAGCATGGAAATGGAACCTGGGTACACAAGACGCAGCCCAAATGTGTGCGCCACTACATAGCTGACCACCTGACATGGCAAAGCAAACAGCCACTCCACTGCAGTCCGCCGAGGTGATGGTCGGTCCATATACAATCGATGTTTAGTTTCATCTCTGAAATCATAAAATAACAATCCAGACCAGAATGAGTTTTCAGCTGGATAAGGTGTTCAGCGGTATTTGCCACAGGTGTCATCCACCGGTATTAGAACATGAAAGGTCAGTACTATTAATAGTACAGCCCATCACAGAATATAATTTTGGGCCAGTTCAATATAGCTCACAATTTCACAATAATGAGATCATTGCAGTATAATCTTTCCACCTTAAGATTTCTGCCTTCTGGGTTGTTGCGCTCATATTCATATTCATTGCCCTGATGACGGAGGCAGCATGACCTCTGAAACGTTGGTAAACATCGGTCATACTACACGGGGCAACAACCCAGAATACAGAAATCTTCATACTCACCGCTGTGAAAACCTCAAATCTTACATCTTTCCACCTCCTCATCACAGTCTTCCAAGAGATCACATTCCATGGATTTACAGACCGAAATTCTGTATGCATTTTTAATGTTCTCCATCCAGCCCACTCTCACCTTCATAACTTGATTCTTCCATTAAAAAGCGATACAGGAACACAGAAATTTATGACTATGAAGTAAAACTAAATTATACTGTCAGCAGATGTGATAAATGACAGTCTCATTCAATGAGCCCTAGGTCTGATCCCTTGCCAGACCTGGTGAAGACCTTTTCTGTGCACAAATTCAAGCTTTAACCTCTGGTGAAGAATGCAGAGAACATAAGGCCAACATATAAATACCAACTCATATTCACACAAGAACTTCCATGATTCTTAACTTAATCAACATAACAAATAAACAGCTCTATTAGACATCACAATTATACACAACTTCTGATAATGGAGAACTGAAACCTTTCAAGCCTGTGCTATTTTTTGGGAGCTTCGTGGTAATACATTCAGTACTCAGTGTTTTAAACTATAAGTACCCTCTGCTAACCATCATTTTAACCTTCAAGATCAGTGAAATCTTCCTCATGAATTCTCTTCCATACAAAACAGGTTACTTCACGCAATGAAGTCTTCTTGGGCGATCCGCAATCATCAGGGATTGACATGATTTCTGATGACGGAGGCAGAAAACAGTCTCTGAAACAGAAACTAATTCCATACTGAGATGTGATCACCTGAGAAGACTTCACTGTATTTAATCTCCGTGAAAGCTATATCGGAAGGGTGGGAGGTGGAAAGATCCTACTCGGCACTGTGTCCAATGGCAAGTTTTGACGTTAGTGACATTAAACCTCAGGGTGCCACTCTATTAGTTAAGATATAAGCAAAGTACTGTTTGATAACAATCAGTTCTTCTGTACCAAATCTGTTGTAGGCTTTCAGGTTTTTGGATATTTCATCAGGTAATGAAATGTATCATACCGTGCTACCACCAAACCCAGGATGGTTCCACCCCAGAACTGAATATCCTGCTTCAAGAGGAGTAACCATTATCCCAATTTCATAGAAGCCAGCATTGCCTTCTGAACAGATCACAAGAGTGTTTCCATTGGCATGCCTGGAACAGAAGAACAAAATACAAATTGAAGACTGTGCCTCTATGAGATTAGGACGGAACTTTAGCTTGACGCTCAAATTAATTACCTAACACCATGCAGCACTACCCTTCTTGAGAAGCTAATGGTCACTCAGATGGTAAAGAAATTTCTTGCACTTCATGTAATCAAAAGTTCCAAAAAAAAACCTGCCATTGGTACTTATGAAGAGTCACCTGAATCCAATCCATAGTCTTCCATCTTACTTCAGTATTATTCTATTTATGCCAAGGTCTTCCAACTGGTCTCTTCCCTTCAGGTTTTCAAACTAAAATTTTGTATGCATTTCTCATCTTGCCCATGTATGCCACATGCCCCACCCATTCGCACCCTCCTCAACTTCGATCACTGTAATGATATTTAGTAAAGAATACAAATGATGAAGCTCCTCATTACGCAATTTTCTCCGGCCTCTTGTTGTTTCCTCTCTCGTGTCCAAATGTTCTCCTCAGCACCCTTCACACTACACTGCTGCATTTATATTATGTAACTAATAAGTTTTGTCTCATCCATCTGAAAAGTGTCTTCAGAATATACACAAAAGAATAACTTATCAGAAATAAAGAACAAACTTATGAGATTAAAAAGGACTTGCTGTCAACAGCAAAGTAACAAAAGTTCTTACATCTTCAGAATGTACTTATTAAAGAATGATCACAGTGAAACAAAGCAGAAAATGAAGAATTTAAAGAAACTTGTTCTGAGTAGCAAAGAAATACAAAGCAACATATTCTTACTTATTTCTCCTATCCACAATCATAGTGTCCACATAGTTACCATCCCTGGTATGCAATTTGAATCGTTCTGCTTGATTCTCATTAACCAACTTGATTCTGCCTTGCAACAGGATTGGAGCTGCAAGGATAACAGGGTCACATGTCAGGTTTCAATTGAAGATGTTATACTACAAAAAATACACAAGATGAAGAACATACTATCAACACAGCATAGATCCGACATATTCTGCTGGTCCAATTCTCTTAACTGTGTTTTGTAAAATAATTTCAGGATATTAAAAATTCACTTTCAATAGGACTGCATCTTTAGTTCAACATGAAACTTTCTACAAAATCAGATCTTTAGTCATGATAAATCTATAAATATATATTGTTCACCTCCGAGTTCATTTCTTTGGGAAGGCAGATGGAACCACACATACTGTGAAAATCATTGTCTAAAACACAAAAATGTAATTTGCATGGGTGCAGATACTCTCAGATGAATGACATACACGCAAACATACAGGATAATTTCCCTGAGAACTGTATAAAGATTTCAGGTATCAGGAAGCACTTACCCATCACATACTGCAGCATGGAAATGGAACCTGGGTACACAAGACGCAGCCCAAATGTGTGCGCCACTACATAGCTGACCACCTGACATGGCAAAGCAAACAGCCACTCCACTGCAGTCCGCCGAGGTGATGGTCGGTCCATATACAATCGATGTTTAGTTTCATCTCTGAAATCATAAAATAACAATCCAGACCAGAATGAGTTTTCAGCTGGATAAGGTGTTCAGCGGTATTTGCCACAGGTGTCATCCACCGGTATTAGAACATGAAAGGTCAGTACTATTAATAGTACAGCCCATCACAGAATATAATTTTGGGCCAGTTCAATATAGCTCACAATTTCACAATAATGAGATCATTGCAGTATAATCTTTCCACCTTAAGATTTCTGCCTTCTGGGTTGTTGCGCTCATATTCATATTCATTGCCCTGATGACGGAGGCAGCATGACCTCTGAAACGTTGGTAAACATCGGTCATACTACACGGGGCAACAACCCAGAATACAGAAATCTTCATACTCACCGCTGTGAAAACCTCAAATCTTACATCTTTCCACCTCCTCATCACAGTCTTCCAAGAGATCACATTCCATGGATTTACAGACCGAAATTCTGTATGCATTTTTAATGTTCTCCATCCAGCCCACTCTCACCTTCATAACTTGATTCTTCCAAGTGGGCTGCACACTTATCCCAAAATAACTCATCATGTTATACCATTCTGCAATTATTTAATCTCACAGGCTCACAAATTTTCTTGAGCATGCTTTAGTCAGTATTACATCTGGTGGATCACTCGTCAAATTTCCCATACCGAGACTGTTTAAACTGCATTAACTGCCTATGGAATCTGAACTTGAAGTGTCCATAAAAGTAACAAAGACCACAAATTGAACTCAATCATGAAACACTTTAACGTAGTTCATAACATTAAACAAAGACTGTTTCCAACCTGTTTTTTATACCATACTCCCACTACACATCAGTCTTAGAGTCGTATCTTATTTTTTCCAACTCATGACACAAAAAACAACATTATAAAGAGGCAGAGCATGTGTTAAAGTAGAATAGGCTAGGTTAGGTTAGGTAATGTTTGATGTGTTTGAGAATGATTATAATGTGCATGATATCTGTCATAAAAATTGTTAATAGATTTGTGCATTATCACTTACTGGGCCAAAAAATAGCAAACTAAAGAATGTGACATGAAATTCAGGATTGTTCAAGAAGTATAAATGTGCAATTACAGACAACTGCCTGTAAATGGTGTAATTAACTTTACTTGAATAAGTACAAAGATTTGCTGGTAAATTGTATACCTAAGAGAATAGGATAGATGTACAACATGATCGGACACTTACTTATGACACAACGACTAGCACTAACTGCAATCGACACAGGCATAAGCTGTAAATTGATAACGGGAAGCACACAGTTTCAGCTGTAGGTGGCACTTGCATCAATCAAATTGGAAGAAAATATCTCTTTAAAAGGACAGATTTAAATTATTAATTACTTTTTGCCATTCCTGACACCATGTTGTATCCCGAGCTGGGATAGGTTGGCAGGGCGAGCGGATCCCTCGGGAGGCAGTTCGGGGTGATCGAAGTACTGCGAGCTGGAGGTTAACTTGAGAATTTATTACAAATAAATGTGGTACAAGCTGTTGAGAAACCCAAGAATCGAGAGATGTCGATCTGCCTAAGCACGGGCAGTGTCGACTTCTAACGAGAGTCGAGTTCTTTCCAGCGTGGAGATGACCTAGACTTAAGTTCAGATAGTAAATAAGGGTGATAGGTCGTCTTGGCTTTATACAAGTTTCGTGACGCCGAATTTCTAAATATGGTTACAAAATAATAGTATTTTGTAAAGCTTGCTTCATCTCGGTACTCTGTCACTGCGTATAGGAACTTTGGCTTCTTTACTGTGTGTCCCATCACTATTAGTTGACCAAGAGGGATGATTTGGAAATCAAGTGGAAACATCCTGCTTTCCCTTAGTGAAGATAACTTGTTTGTAGTTTATGTTGAAATAGCATTGGGAGAGTACCGATTACAACATAGTTACAATTTCAGTTTAGTTCCTAAAGATATAGGATATACCCCTTTCAATTTATATTTATATATTATGTATTCTCTATAATTAAGCCATATACAAAAACCATGCTTTGAAATGAAAAGTCATTGTTGGTATATATTTATATTACTAAACCAATGTAACGTTCTACCTTTTAATACATATCAAATATTTTTGGACAAGAATGATGATTTTTAAATAGTGATTTCTGATGCATACAGTATAAATGATCCAATACAATATACACACAATAATTACACTTGTCACTTTGTCAGTAGGTAACTGTAACTGGAAACCAGCATTATTTTCAGTCATACAGCTATCACATAGATACAACATAACCTCAAATAACAAAATAAATTTAAATTGTTAGCTTTAAGCATTCAGAATTTAAAACTTTAACTTCATACGCTGGGAAATATCTGGAGAGATAGTATAATTTCAGCATAAAAAACTTACCCTTCTATATCAGACCACTTGAATTCAACCGGCCAAGCATAGAATTCAAAATCGTATCTTGACAGCGCTTTCTAGAACAGAAATCACATGAACAGAATAAATACTATAAAACTGAAGACCAGAAATTCATATTTTCATTAATTAACAGTGATGCTCCATGAGTCTAGTAAAAATGTGATGCATCAAACCTGTAGCAAAATTCATACAATAAAATATTTATCTGACTCATTTTCCACCAAGGACTGTCTAAAACAAGGAGATGCTTTGTCTCCATTGCTCTTTAACTTTGCACTACAATACACCACCAGGAAATGCCAAATTAGGCAGGAGGATTTGCAATTGAATGGGGCACATCAGCTATTGGCATTTGGTGATGATGTTAATTTATTGGGGGACGATATGAATACAATAAAGAGGAACGCAGAAGTTTTACTAGAGGCTAGTAGACAGGCGGGGCTAGAAGTAAATTCAGAAAAAACTAAGTACGTGTTAGTATCTCGTCATCAGAAGACAGGCGGGCAATATTATCTTAGGGTAGCTAATAAGTCCTTTGAAAGGGTTACAAAGTTCAAATATTTGGGAACAACAATAAGAAATTAAAATGATGTTTACGAGGAAATTAGAAGGAGACTAAATTCCGGAAATGCTTGCTACTTCTCAGTCCAAAATATTTTGTCTTCCCGTCTGATTTCTAAAAAACCTGAAAATTAAAGTATATAAAACAATAATTTTGCCTGTTGCTTTGTATAGGTGCGAAACATGGTCTCTCACTCTGAGGGAGGAACATAAGATTGCAGGTGTTTGAGGATAAGGTGTTCAGGAGGATATTTGAACCTAAGAGAGAAGAGGATGGGGCATGTAGAAAACAGCATAATGAAGAACTTAAAAATTTGTTCTCCTCCCCCATTATTGTCAAGGTGATTAAGTCAAGAGAAAAGAGATGGGTGGGGCACATGGCACACATGGATGGGGCAACATGTGCACACCGGGTATTGGTCGGGAAGCCTCATGGGAAAGGACTGCTGGGGAGCCCCAGACATAGATGCGAAGATAATATCAAGCAAATTAAGACTGTTCTCTTTCCCACATAAATAAAAAAAAAAGTAAAATAGCAGGGACACAATTAAAAAGGTACAAAGCAGTTACATATTTTTTCCTTCTACGTAAATTGGCTACTTGTTAAAAAGTAACTACATATATGGACATACTCGGACAATTTTTACTATAGATGTGAACTGGCACAGAACTATAAAATTATATGCATAAAGCATTACTAAATAATAGGAATTATTCACAAAATATCCCATCGTATTATAATTTCTGATATTCTCTGTACAGTTTAATTAAAATATAATTACTTTTTATAATAACAAGCTCTGTTTAAAAATAAAAGTTCAAGTCATGCCTTGCGTGTTCATACATTAACATCTGCGATGTTTAATTAATATTTTGATACAAACCTTGGTATCCTTATTAAGTTCTTTCTTTGCTGCAGTCAGTGAATTCAGAAAGGTTATATAGGTGTAATTATTAGCTCTATCTATACTTCGTAGACAGTACGAAGCTGCAAGAATCAAGCCAATTCCAGTGAGGAATTTCGCAATTGTTACAATTCCATCGAAAACAAAGTATCCTCTTCGATATAAGACTGTTGCCAGAATGGGAGAAGTGTACAGACCAACATTCCACATGATATACAACTGAAAAATTAACAGGCACACATATCAACTAAACTCATGAACAAAAGCAATCGAAATTTTTACTTATACAAATCACATAATACACCAAATGAAACATAAAAAATATGAGGTTGCAATACAGTATAAAACACGCCAGCACAATAACACACTAGACTTCGTCGTGTCAACATATCAAGTTCCATATACTTCGCAATATAATATATTAAACAACCCACCGTCGTTAACATCACTTACCGATTGAATAACCTGATCTCCCCATTTTTCGAAAGGTCTTGCTTCATACGCAACCTGGAAAAGTAAGGTTAAGCAAAATTACTTGGAACACACTTATTACTTCTAAAGGTCAATTAACTGGAAATATTAATACATTTCAATTACTAAATAAACTCACATCAGGTCGCCTGTCATCATATATTTTATACAACCGAGGGCTAAACATGCATTGCCAAATCAGCTTAACCGCAGCCATATTTAAACTACAACCGAACATCGACTATCTTCCATGACATGCTATTTAACTATAAAGACGACGAAATTTCTAACCACGGATTATAAATAAATTATTTCGTTCACATTGTATTACACACTAT